TGAACAAAATTTAAACACGAATCCAAGATAGGCTCTAGTTAACAACGAACTTGAAACTTTTTGTTTTTCATTTTCTTTGCGTAGACTGGTGTCGTTAAAAACCGCGATTCTTCGTTGTTAGAACAAATTAAACTAGAATTTTCTTGAGAAAAATACCAGTGATAATAACCCTTAAGAGATTTTAATACATTTTAATTTTCCTGCCTTGAAGAAACGGATTGATTTAGATTTTTTTGGTCTGTATAACTTGTTACTAACTGAAGGTGTTTTTCTTAGTGTTAAATTTTATCAAAATGTTTGCTTTAAATTCATTGTTTGAACCAGGCATCAGGTTTTATCGTATTTGTAATGTAGAAAAACCTCTTTCAGCCTGCAACTAATGTTACACAGGACGATAAGAAATTTTGAAGATGGAAATCTGAATTCATCGATGAAAAGTAAAAGGAAACTCAGACAAAAAAAAATCATGTCGCAGTAATTTCAAATACACGATATCGGATTGTCGTGCCTGAACTTTGCACCCTAAGAGAAAAAAAGGCTTAATTTGGCCCATGAGAAAGGGAGTTTGAAGATTATTTTGGTTTTAGCAAAGTCTTATCTCAGTGACTTTTGAAGATACGAGGAGTCGAGCAATTATCCAGATTTTCTTAAACTTGCGACCATAAAATCCAAAAAAATACAGCTAACTTGGCCACCAAGATAGACTGAAAATTTTAATGATTTGCTTACAAATATTGATCAGTTTGAGCCAAAGTATTTCCTGTGTAACAAACGAACAAAAATTCAACGGCTGAAAAAGGTCCTTTAGGTAGCAACATGACAAGCTTCACGAATGTTATTATGTAGCAGTAGATAATGGCTGCCATGTTTCTATCGATAGAGTAAGTAATGTGTATATATCATCTTGTGCAAAAGGAAAAAAAATCAAAGACCAAAATTTAAAGGAAGAAACGTTCAAGGAAAATACGATTTCACTAATTTCACACAAAAAAACATAGGGCTAAGGCTGTTTAAAATGTTTAGTAAGAAAATTTTGCACAAGGTGATGTTCACATATCTTTTGGCGGAAAATTTAGGGGAAGCCATTTTGAATTTTTTGTCGAAAATGTTGTCAGGGGAAACTCTATGCAAATTGCTCCAAATTTTCCCGCCAAAAGTCTTAGTATATATTTGAACGAATTTTTCTTGACACTTTTTTGATTATTTAATGAAAATTCACTGAACTAATTAGAAGACAAAATACTTGTATTTTTGTTTGCTCATTGAAATATGTTAGAATGAAAATAAAGATCAAAATGAAACAGCAAACAACATTGTTGATTTTATTGACTTGTATTTAATAACAATATGGTTAAATATGCATGAAACCTTATCATTCTGCAAAAAAAA